CCAAGTTTTGCGAAATTTTTGAATTTCTTTTTTTAAATCACCGTGTTGGATTTGTACTTGATTTTAATGTGTATAGTAGTATTTGAATTTTTTTAAAAAAATTGTGGTTTTAAGTTCACATTGGAATGTTGTGATGCATTTTAACAAAATTGTAGTTTTATCATATTTTTCATTTTATTTCTTAAGTATACTCAAAATCAATATTATAAATTAATTACTTCAAAACATGATAAATATTCAAAGTCAATCATGTAAATTAATTTTATTATCTAGTGTTCTTCGAAAACCACGTTTTATGGAAATTACTTAGATAAATGGGAAAATTTCATTAATGACCCTTGATCATATTAAAAAAGAAAACTTCAAAAAATTTGATATATCACTGCAAATAGCGTTGTCGATTTAATATTAAATTAAATTTTATAGTGAAATGATAATATTGCCTCTCATTGAAAAAAAATAAAAAAGCTGAAGTTTAATGAAGGAAGGCGGTGGAAAAGATACATGAAAGGGTAAGAATGCTCTCTCTCTCTCTCATTCTCGAGCCCCCCTCACTTTCTTTAAGCATTGGCACTTGTTTGGCTTTGTCTAACACTTTAGTTTTATTATCTAAAATGTTTCTACTTATTTTTTTCCCCTTCTTCATAATGAGACTATGAAGCACCAATACAGTTACGAGTATTGGATATGATACAATATGATATGTGGATACGACAATTTTTAAAAATTTTAGGATACGGGTACGGTTTTATAAATAATTAAATATTAAATATTTATATACATATATATAAATAATTAAATAATTAAGCAATATCAAGTGACAAAAAATAATGATCAACTTAAATTAATGAATGTTAAAAAATTGTAAACTATTTCTTGCATATTTTAACATGAGGAGAATTAATAAAAATTTAAAATAAATAAATAAAAATTATCTAAATTCAAGCTTTGCCATTATTGTAATTGCAAAGACTATATAAGGAAGTTAATTTTTTTTTTAAATAGGATCATGAAAGAAGAAAAAATTAAAGTTAATGGATAAAAAGAGAAAACCAAACTTTTTTTTTTTTGTTAATAGCTCTCTTATCGATCAAATCACTCCATCCATATAATAACAAAGAACAATAGCCAAGATCATGACCTCTTGAGTCACGACTGAGGAGGAGAGACAAAGAGCAACACAATGATTAAGACACCAAAATAGTGACTGAGGAGGCAGAGTTAGAGAGCGACAATAGCTTAGAGAGACAAAGCAATAGAGGGGAGTATTACCTCGCTCGAGCTCGACGAAAAAGGGGGAAAGGACAGTGGTCGGCGACAGTGGAGGGTCGCTGGGTTAGAGTAGAGTAATGCAAATTAGGTGAAGGACTTGGGAATGAAAGGGATCGGTTGACGTTTGTGAAGTAAGGCATCTAGGGAAAAGAAAGCCTGAAACCAGCTGCATTTCAAATCCTACCAGCATTGACTTATGTCCGTTGGCAGCCGCCCATGTTTGCCCATTTCACCAAAAAAAAGGGGACACGCCACATCCTCATATGAGATAAGTATCCATGTTGGATGTGTATTCGACACGGATGCTGTGCTGATTTTGATGTGTCCGTGCTCCAAAGTAATGAGATCATGAGCCTTATGAAAGTCATTTGGGGTGATTCCTTAATCTATGAGTGACTTTTTTTATAGTTTTTACTTAAGCCATCTTCTTCGAAAAGTTGGACATAGGCTTAGATTGAATTAGAGATTTGAAAGATTTATTGAGAGATTAGGTTGATGGTTTTTGGTTGAGAAAGTGTTTAGGAGATATCACGGATGAAATTTGGTTTTAGTAAAGAGATGGTGATTATTGGGTTAAGAGATTTTAAGTTTCCTATGGTGGATTTCAAGATATGGGTAAGAATGAGACAGAGGCACCTTTTATAATACAAAGTCATACCAAAATGTTACCAATTTAATGGTATGAAAAAGTAGCCGCTGAAAGTAAATTTTAAATTAATGGATGAGATTAAAAGATCAAGATAAAGAAAATGTACTTTTCATATCGGTATGTCTCTAATACACAAGTATATGTAGTTCTTATCGATATGTACTAGTTCTATCAGTATGAGTGCGAGTTTCTATATCATCAGCCACTGTTATACCATTTTATTGTGTTGATACAAATGAGTTATTCATGTTGGTATGTATTAATTCTATTAGGATGAGTATTGGTTTCTATAATAGCATCTGTCATATCAGTTTGTTGTGTTGATATCGATATGAATTATTCATATTGGTATATACTTGTTCTACAGGTATGAATTTGGATTTCACCTAACTTAAACAATTTTAAGTGACTTATTTGTCACCTTATTATGTGTGATTTATTACCTTACAGTGTCTTATTAATTTCCTTACCTCACTTGTTCATTATAATATTAACTTGAAAAAATTTCAAGTGTTGGTTGGTTTCATATTTGAATGACTTATTCGTCACCTCACTGTGTGTAATTCTTTACCTTATGGAATGTTAATTTCCCTATTTTACTTGGTTATTACAACATTCTGAGTTAACATGGAACTACTCTCTCCAACTCAAATTATAAGACACTTTTAGGAAAGATTCATCGTTATAAAATATAAGATACTTTAGTAAAAATAAAGTTTCATTAATGATATTTTTTGAATATTACCATTCCCATATATTCTTCTTTTTAATATTCTTTCATCAATAGAATATTAAATGAAGTGTATTTTTGAAAGTTTATATTTTTGTTTTGAAAAAGTAAGGTTGTAAAGTGTATTTAATGAGTTTTATTGGTATGTGAGATTTTATTTAAAATTTTTTATAATTTGGAACAAAGGGAGTACATATTTATAGTTCATATTTCTTATTAAATGCAGTTGCAAATGAATAAAAATGACTAATTCATTCCTATTCAATGACTTGTTCATATATACACAAAAAGAACAATTCTAAGGAATTTCATGACAGCAATAATATGCAAAAGTTATAATATTGACATTGTTAATAATTGAAACAAGTAATTCAGCTTCGCATCTTCTTGGCATTGTCATTTGTAAGGAGTTGCAGTACGGCATCGTGTTTGGAGTTCTTCTCATGGTTCCCATCGAATGGAGTTGCAAAATCTCATGTGAGCTTCTCTTCTGGAGGTTAACTTTATCATTAACTCATTATTCTGTCCATTCCTTAATTGCTTCTGCATCAGAAAATCCTCTCCCTTCAACCAAGGGGATTTTTTGTAGAAAAAAGCTACATAGAAATGAGTCAAACAATGCAAATAAACAATTGTATTGAGGGGGATTAACAATTAAACTTTAGAAAATGAACAAGTCTTCATACATACCATTAACAAATATATGCAACTATCAATGTTCTTATGCCCTTAGATGACCTAACTTTAACAACTGTTGGTACTTTTTTATCTCTTTACTCAGCTCATCTAGCACAAGAGTTACCCAATCAAATTTGTCCCAACCATTGCCATTGAACTCTAATACTTCCACTAGCTAATTTCTTATAGATGGACTAGTAGTAGGACTAAGCAAAGTACCAAGTGTATTGAGCATGAATAAAACCTTAAATTCAAGTGGGTTACTTAAAAACTACTGTTTGGGCAGTGAACAACACGGCTCAGCTAATTCTAACTTTGTTAATTTATAACGACATAATTCAATTAAAATTTTGCCTAGCTTTTGAAAAGGATTTTCAACAAGAGATGATTTACAAAATCGAGAAATTAAGTTTCACTAATTTTTCGTACCTAAACCAAAGAATTCACCAATGACTATTGAAATCAAGAGATAATTAACTTATATCATTATGCTTCTAGCAATTTTTTGCATGTTACCCATGGTTCTTCTTTAGTCAAATGTTCAACCGAACCCTTTTCTACATCCAAACTGATGGAAGAACAATGCCGATCAAAAGAAGTTGCAAGGTTAGAGACAGCAACTGACAAGATAGTGACTTGGTCAAGGGAGGTTCTTGGGTAGGAACTTCGGGGTTCTTCTTTAGTCAAATGTTCAATCGAACCCTCTTCTACATCCAAGCTGATGGAAGAACAATGCTGATCGAAAGAAGTTACAAGGTTAGAGGCAGCAACTGACAAGCTAGTGACTTGGTCAAGAGAGGTTCTTGGGTAGGAACTTCGACAATAGAGGTGTCGCTCATCTTCAAACTTGAAAGTTTGGGAAGTTTCACCACATGCATCATCCATCTTTTGTGTTTGCAAGACGTGTTTGTGTCATAGTTGAGCAAGATTTTAGTTTTTTCTTACAATGAGGGATAACACTTGGCTATGAAATTTAATATCAAATTAGTGTCCCTACTTTGCAATGATATATCATGAATTCTTAAGCCTTTTTTTTTAATACATATAGTCAAGAAGTCTTCAGTGAAATTTTGCCTAGATAAATTATATTGCTTCTTAAATAATGCATATTGTTTTTCTTTTCTAATAAAATATTTCTAAGCTCTGGAAACAAAAAAAAAAAAAGTGCTCCATACAAATAACTAAGATTTGCATTCGGTGCTTATCGCATATTCAGGAAGCAATCCTCTTGGCCCTCCATTTTAATCCAAATTAATCTCTATCGTTCATTTAAATTAATTTTTAAATATTTTTAATATTATATTTATTAATATAAAAAACTAAAAAAATTTTAATAAATTTGTTTGTTACCAATCTGATCAATATAAATTTAATCTAGCAGTCTAATTTAATATTAAAATTTTTTATAATTTTATAATTTAACTATTTAGATAAACTCTCGAAGTTCAGATATAATTTAGATGATCTAATTTAATGTTAAAAAAATTATAAATTTTATAAATTAATTATTTAAATGTATTTTAAATAGTATATATTTAATATTAAAATTTTTTGAATTTTTTATTTTACTAGAATGTTAAAAATATTAAAAATTAATTTAAAAGAACGATATTTTAAGCTTACATGAAGGGTAATGAGCACAGGGTAATGAGCACCGGACGCAGATCACTGTCTGTCGAATCATTTCATGCCATTTTTTTGGGGAAGAATGCGGTCTGTAGGTGGCGTAGGTACAAGGAGTAACCAAAACCAGCCGCCCCCACTCTGCGGTTCCCCTCCCCCGCTCCTCCTCGACTCGGAAACTAAAAGATTTGCCTAGTCAGATTTCAATTCGGAAACTTCACAGTTTGATATTTCAGCATTTGATCTAGCGTAGCTTAATGGGTCTTCTCAGTATCATTAGGAAAATCAAAAGGAAAGAAAAGGAAATGCGCATTCTCATGGTGTAAGCAACTTCTCATTTCTTTCGCACATCCTTATTGACTTTATCTTTGTTCCTTCTACTTACAGTATCGGTCTTGATCGTTATGCAGCGGGCTGGACAATTCTGGGAAAACTACAATTGTTTTGAAGATTAATGGGGAGGACACTAGCGTAATTAGTCCTACTCTTGGTTTCAACATCAAAACCATCACCTACCAAAAGTAAAATCCAGTATTTAATCGTTTGCCCCCTTATTTCAAGACAGAATCAGCAATACGTGTTTATTTTTCCTGTTCTGATTTTGTAGCGGCAATTTATTATATCTCTGTCGTTAATCTTGCAGATCGTAGTGGTTGGTTTGGGAACTAAAAGGAATTAGTTTATTGTAATCTATATAGTTACTTTTGGAACGCTTGATAAAATTTCACTTTTCCTCCTGTGGTTTGGCGCAAGTTTTTTTTGAATCTGTGGAGAAAATAATGGATTTTATATGTTTAACTGGTAATATCTTCAAGATTTTCAAATGCTAGTGAAGTTAATTATCATATAATTATGTGCATTAAAATGATGGAATTAACCACTTTAGATTAGTTCAGCTTGTTAGGATGGGGTAGGGAGTGGGTAGAGCCGTGGAGGTCAAGGGTTCCAAGCCCCTGATGTACATGGGATTAGCGTGTGCCCCAAAAAAGAAGAAGAATGCTAGGATTAGCCACTAAACATGATTTTTCCATTTAAACGGTATGTCAAATTGGCATCCCTCCTTCTCTCACACTCATAAGCACTTGCTATCGGGTGGTATCTGGTTTGGAAACCTGTATATTGAACATGTATTCGAATATTGTAGTGCACTTAAATATTGAGGGGTAAAACTGTATTCAATTCATTTCTGGTCTGATTGGGGAAGACATTGATGTGTTGTTGCTTCTTAATGTGCTATATATTCTAAGAGCATGATTTGATTTTTTTTATTATTTAAAAATAAATTTTGCCCATATTTCACTTTAAACTTACAGTACATACTTGATCATTGACATAATCTGTTACCGTTTGCTTCACAAAATATTGTGATTGTCATATAATTGGCTATAAACTATCTGTCCACACTGACAATGGCAGGTATACTCTCAATATATGGGATGTTGGGGGCCAAAAGACAATAAGATCTTATTGGAGAAACTACTTTGAGCAAACAGATGGTTTGGTCTGGGTAGTTGATAGTTCAGATTTAAGAAGGTTGGGTGATTGCAAAATGGAGCTGGATAACCTTTTGAAGGAGGAGGTTTGTTCAATATTTATTTTTCATCAACTGAGCAACTTGCTTACTTGGGCCATTCTTTTAGAATACGATATCATCAGCCCATCATCCTTTTGTTTGATTAGCTTAAACTGCTATACTTTGAGCCAGTATTATTTGAAGTTGGTAGTCTGCTGCTTAAGGATTGATCGTTGCAAACCAGTGCCTTAACATGATCCTGGGATTTAGAGTTTGTTTATACTTTCAGTAGTCCCTTTACTGTGCTTATAATATTTTGCTTCTTTACTGTGGAGAAGATATACCCATATACCAGTTGCAAGTACTTTATCATTTATCATTTAGAAGAAATATTTGCTATATTTGCAACAAAACCAACCAAAGTAGTTTCTACCAGCAACAATTTGGGATGCTGGATTGAATCCTCTTTCTCTTTCGCAGTCTACATTTTTTCCAGGAGTGTTTAGTTTGTAATATATGGTATGTTCGTTCACAGAGACTATCTGGAGCATCTTTGCTGATACTAGCTAACAAGCAGGATATTAAAGGTACCCTTACACCTGAAGAAATAGCCAAGGTATGCTTATAGTTTGGGATGCTTCCTTCATCAGCAGTATTTCAGGATTTCATACAACTGACCATATTTTATCTGAGATTATAAAGTTGACAATAAGTAGTGTCAACGATATATTGTGTTATTTGCTAATATCATAATTCCATAACATGTGTCTTTCGCTGGTAAATTTCCATGTTTAAGTTGTTTCCAACTGTTACGTACTAAAAGAATTCCTTGGTGGTAGGTAGGTACTACAGCCTATATTTTTTTTTTTTTTGGCTAACATACTACAGCCTATAGACTGGGCTCCTTGTTGTAATTGTATTCGCTCCAATTATCACCAAAAAACCAAAAATGGGAAAGACAGAAAGAAGTGGCATCTGAAAAGGATTTTAATTTCTGAAATGGTTTCTTGTACAGGTGCTGAACTTAGAAGCCATGGACAAATCACGGCACTGGATGATAGTTGGCTGCAGTGCATTTACTGGTCAGGGTCTGCTTGAGGGATTCAATTGGCTGGTCCAAGACATAGCCTCTAGAATCTACATGCTTGACTAATCGTTTTTCATGAAATAGTTCCAATCTCTTACCTGATATGCTGGTTCAGGGGACATCGTGAGTGTACTGCATCCCTGGTAAATTGGATATCATTTCTGAATGCATGCTAGTTTTTGAACGCAGCAACGTAATAGCGGATTGCTGATTCACAAGAATGTGAAACCTACTTGTGAGAATGTGAACATTGCTGAGTTCTTCTATGCACATGGAGTAGCTGTGAACTTAAACATGTTGGTGCTCTGAACTTGTTGATGTTCATATGAATGTGTAGTGGACCTTTGCTATATTTCATAATTTTATCTGAACTCGTGGGGGAATGAACAATATCTTTCAACACAATAGAAAGACTTCATGATTCTTTTTCTTCAATGCTTCCCCTCCCGTTTACTCATCGGCATCGGTCAGTTGCATGAATTCCTAGTTTTGCGGGTTCAAATCTTTTTAAGAGACAATCGGAATAACTTTACCCCTTATTTGGTTGGAGGGATTTAGAGGCGGGACGGGAGGGGAAGGATTTTGCCACTCTACCCTTGTAAATGAAGGGGAGGGGAACTTTTAAGGAATTTTCCCTCCCCAACCTTTGCCCTTTGAAAGTGGGGGAATTTGGTGGGGAGGTTATAAATATATTTTACTATGGCTAAGATAATTTTATAAAATTTCGTTATTCCAGCTTTGATCTTGAAACAATCTATATAAACGTGCCAAAAGTTCTCACAAAATTACTGTCACACAATTTCAGAAGAAAAATCTCATAAAAATCATCTTTGCTATAGTTATTGGGATTGACCACAGAACTTATTGTCCTTAATATGATATCAGATCTTGCTATTATCATCATCCTTCATTCTGATCAGTTTCTATTGTTACCTTTTTTATATTTTGTTTACTTTTCTTTCTCCAAGATTTCGTGAATATGATTTCTCCAAACTTTTAGATAAGTTACTAACTTTGTATAGATATTACTTATGTACTATAATTGATTTACCGTTTCCTGCCATTTCTTCTCTCTCTCTCGTCTAGTAGTTCGCCTAGCCAAAGGCTTTCGCTTCATGACATTGGTTAGGGGTTGGTGTTAATTTTCTGATGTTTATTTTTCTTTTGCTAGAGTACTGTATAATGCTGTTTATAAATCCAAAACCGTGGATATATACACATTTCTTGTTTTATTTTTCATACTAAGAATATCCAGATAAAGATTATTTCTTTATTAAAAGCAATCCTGTTTTAATGTTAAAAAATCCCAGTTGTCAATGGAACGAGTCAAAATTCCAACATATCATGGGCCACAAAATGCCAGCAGAACATGTGCCACAGCCCACAATAGCATCTCCAAGTAAGGAGGTTGCGGGTCAAATCCAAGGAAAAGATCATATAGGTAGACGGGTATAGTTGTAATTGTGCCCTGAAAAAAAGTGAAAAGCACCACTATATATTTTTAATTTTCACATTCATATATATTATACTTTCTTCAACTCTGAATATAAGTCTTAATGCAAATTTTTAAGTATAATTAATTATACCTGTTTTCAAAAATGCTTTTGACAGAAAATATGCATTTTCAAAAATGTTTACAAGTGGATGTACTTTCCCATTACACTAAATAGAGGATAAAAATGAAAATGAAAAAAATAGTGTTTGCATAATATGATAATACATAATTTTTGGTACTGTACTTGTGTTATTTTCAATATTAGGTGGGAAGGTTGGGCGCATGTAGGCATGTCTCTTGTAGGCTCAACCCGTAAGTTCAGTTATCCCAAAGTGAGCTTTTTTTTTTTTTTTAATCTAGCCTTTATTGGGTTAAAATCTGGCCTGTAAACTCCTTTTTTAATATTTATTTTATTTTATTTTTTAAATCTAGCCTTTATTATAATGTTTAAAAATTTAAAATACATAATATAAATTATAATTTTAAAGTATAAACATATATAATAAAATATAAATTTGATTTAAAGATAAAAAATATTTTTTTTTTTAAAAACGGGCTGCTCGTGCCCAAGCTTTGAATACCGATTACATTAAAATTTCTTAATTTTTCAAGCCATATAACTTATCAAGTCTGACCTTTTTTTTTGTTTTTGCCAAAAAGATCAATTTTGTTAATATCAAAAACCAATTATACATATCAATAAGTGAAAGGGGGAAAAAAAACTAACAATACAAGCGAACACACAAAAACCTCACACCAACATAAAAAAGTATACAACCTATAAAATAAAAAGTCAAGTCTGAGCTTATCGTCATCTCTCCGCGTATATAGAAGAAGCAAGTACTGTTAGTTTAAATTGCCCCTTGTATTATCAATTTATCATGTTAACTTTCCCCATTGTAATGTTATTATTTTTTTCCCCGAATAAAACTGAATATCAATTAGCAACTAAACAAAGTACAGAACAGCGGATAAAAATCAAATGAAAAAGAACTAGGCTTTTTTATTGTCCTTCATCCCTAAAATTAGAAAATAAATAATGATCAAAAAAGCAAAAACTATTATTCAAAATGTGTGGTGATCTAGCAAAAAAAATCTGCATTCCTATATTTGCCCCTATTAATTACTGTGATGAAAACCCACGTCTTCAACCAATTAAAGGATAGTCGTGGTTATAGTAATGTTATTGAATAACTGGTGAATTATACCTAATATTTACAATTTTTTTTTTAAATTGTTTCTTAAAGTCCATAGAAAAAAGTTAAGAACATCATCTATGGAAGAAGCGGGTTCTGGTCACACGGAGGGCAACAATCAGTTTCTGTCTGCAAACCTATACGGCGCCGCTGGAGAGATATACCGTCGCGCTGAAAGGCGAAAGCGCATTTTGTGATCGGCCTCGCTGTGCCAGGCGGAGTTTGTGGCAAATTCATAACACGCACCGGAAACTATCCTGAGCGCTTGTTGCTTTTCACATCCTTCCTCTTTCTATATTTGTTCGCGTGGTCCGCGGTGAACCAGTATAGAATTGATCCTCAGGTCTGTATCCATATTCCTCCTCAATTTAGGAGGAAAACATGTGGCATATACTTCTTATTTTTGGTTCATCTTTTCCAATTTTCTCAAGCTGAACTCTGCTTTGAAAGCGGTTAATGTATGGCTTGTGGTCTAGCTGCAGTTTGGTTTTCTTTGATGCTTGATTGTTTGGTGCAGATTGGTTTTGTATATTCTCCAGTGTAGCGGACTAGCTGGTCTTGCTTCTGAGATTTCCCGTTGTGATTTTTTAAGTTATGACTAATTGACGATGCATGCATGTGTAATGTATTATATCCTTTTCTTGCTACGATCTTGAGATTCTTGCATCTGTTGCAATCTTCAAGTATTGAATGCATCGAGTTTCCTCTATAACTTGAGTAACTTTTTTCCCTTCTGTTTTGTTTGTTTTACACACACACACAAGTGCGTCCGTGTTTTTTTTTTCCCACTCCTCCTAGGTGGAGTGAAAATGATCACGCTGAATATGAGGCGCGGTACGATTACACGAAAATGTGTATACAAAATTTAATCTTTAGTCTAATTACACTGTCATTTTCACCTCTTTTTCAAACTAATCGAGCATGAACATCGATATTCTTTATGGATTCTAGAGCTCTGGCACAGACTCATGTGATGCCAATTTAATAAGTTCACATGGGGCTCAATGCAAGTTCATTCTAATGGGTTTATACAATCCAGCTCTACATTATGCAGAAAAAGAACGTATTGTTTGTCTGCGTGATGTAGATATAAAAAAGAAGGAAAAAGAAAAGCAAAGATTAGCGATTTGTGATAAATCTCTCTAAAGCAAGCAGCTTAAAACAAATGCGCAATAAAATTTGTTCGTTGACCCTTTGTGGAATGGATGCTAACAAGAATGAGCTATCTTTTGTTTCAGGTGCTGACAAGAATGGGTTCCAACAGCAGCCAGACTGATGAGAAACTATCCGTTACCCCTCCGTCAAGAGTTACATTCTGCCAAAGAAAAAAGTCCAAGAATGGCAGCTTTGTGTCTACTTTAAGAGATAACTTTCATGAATTCATCCATGCTTCCATGGATGAACACAAGACATGCCTGAGAAATACAATTCAAAAGGTAAAAATCCAATTCCATGCCATGTGTATATACTATGTTTCTCTCCTTTAATGTGCTAACTGTTGCAACTTGCTTGTGATAAATTTTACATTGTTCAAAACAGTTACTTGGAGAAAAGAGTGACAGCCCCAGTGAAAATGAAACATCTCTACCACTTCAATCAACTACAAAGGATTAGAAGGTTTTCAACAATATTGATTGTCAGAAGATGAGTTGCTGACTTATTTAATTGTATATTGCATCTTTTTTACTTTAGCATTTCACTAGATGATTTCAGAATTGTTAGTTATGGTTCTTGACTTCACATTTGAAGAATTTTATTCAGCGTCACTGGTAAGGTGACAAGCATTTTCGAATCCAGATTTTGGAATGTGATGACTTTGAGGTGATGCTTCTATTTGTACTGAATATTAAATGGGATGCATTGTTGTTTCACTTCGTGCCATATTGCCTTATGGTGCCCCATCCCTATTTTCATTAATGTAGCGTTTTTTTGGCCATGACATTAATGAAACATCTTTGTCTTGTAACTGAATGTTGAGATCCAGAGAGAGACATTGCTCTTGCTTACTGGAAGGTATGCAGTGGGAATTTTAGACTGAAGCCGTATTAACTCGTTAATTAATTTATCATTCGTACCTGTAGATTTGGTCCACGTTTAAATTGTTTGAGATGAAATGTCTAGCCTGTTAAAATAAGTAAGCTTTCAGTACAGGCCTCTCTGATGGCAAGACATGTGCCATATGAAGGCAAACAAATTACTGATGGTCTATGCTTTAAAAAAGTGTTGAATTGATTTCCCGAAAAATGACGTTCATTTTCACTGATAACATCACTTTTCTTCAGACTTAAAACTTCTTCAGCCAGGAGTTAATGTGAAACGCTCTAATTCTTTTCTAGGTTTTGACATCATTACCTTAATGAATAGCTAATAAATGCCACATTGTGGGTTCCAAAACAAAGATTTGAAAGAGCCATAAAAGGTTTTGAAAAACATTATTCAGAAGTATCAAATCTTTGCAGTGAGCAAAATATAGAGACCATACTATAGTCAGGAGTAGTGCCGGGGCTGGTTGCTGGCCTTAGGTATTACATTATACTGGAAACCAAGGCACTAGCGCTATTTGCGTTCGATTTCAGTAGTAATCTATCATCCATAGTAATGTGATGAACTGATGATTGATAAATAAGCTTATGACATGGTGAGAATTGCACACTACCCAATCATACGGTAAAATGTTAAAACCTGGATTGGAAGCAGAATGTCTCTTCTAATTTCTTTTTCCTTCTATAGGGGTGTGTCTGTTATATCTAAGTTCAAACTAGGACAGCAGGAAATTTGAAGAACAAAAGGAAGCATGGTCTTACTGATGAACTGCAGTTAATGCTTAGAGTTCACAATACGACGCTACATCAGCATTTCTTTGGTAAATACGAAGGGGAACTTCGCTTGATTCAATGTTTTTGATGTCCTCTAAAATGATCTTATATTGCGTTCTTGACTTCATCTTCAGTTGAGTTTCCAGTAAGTGTGATATTTTGTACCAACGATAATGAAATTCCTGTCATATATTGCCAAGCCGCTCTCAGTTTTTCCTTCTAACTTGTCCATCTTACAATGGATTAATGGATGGAAAGAAGATTTGAGGCAACCAATTACTATGATAGGAGGAATCTTTTGACTGTAAAATGTAATTAGTAAATGAATTGGGGGGAAAACCAAAAAATTCATGAAAAACATGGGCACATTTATATTTGAAAAGTCTTGTACTTTTTTCAATACAAAAAGTTCTTTGATAAGGAGAATCCAGGTTATCTGCCTAAGGGGATCGATGGAAAAATTTCTCTTTATCTGGTGGTTCATGAAGTCGAAATTACAGCACACCCAATCTGAACTGCTGAATTGAACATGGTATGCAGAAACCATGACTGGCGTTCTGTGTGTGTATGTTAGCTTGATACATTTAACTACTTCATTTTTTGTTTTCCAAATTTAATGAAATGAAGTAACAGTTGGAGATCTACCAAATATGTCAGCACGACTGCGATCTTGGCATCAATGGAGTTTGAATTTTTGTATGATTTGATAAAAATCGATGCCGACCACAAATATCATGGGTGTGATCTTTATCAATAGGCATTCATGACTTAACCTTTTTAGCTGCCAAATGTCCTGTAATCTTATCCCTCGATGAGGCCACTGAAGTTTCGTGCTAGTTATGAATTTGTGTTGAGCCAATTTCTTGGTTTTTTTTAATATTAAAAATGACTTAAACTTCTTGATGTTATACTGGGTTGGAGAATTTCACTGCTAATTACGGGAGTATCATGCAAAGCCCTAAGCCTATAATAGTGGCTATTGTCTCAAGCCGGAAACTGTGCCACAGTCTTGGAACAGACCCTGGTAGGCTGGTTCGAGGAAGTGAGGAACTAGGATGAACACATAGAACTCGTGATAGATAAATAAAATGTGAAACGATGAGGTCCCACCGACTTGGGTTACTGGATTCAGAGTCCAATGTCCTAACCGCTAGACCTTGGGATTAACCCTTAATAGCGTGTGCTACTAACACTTTCAAGATATTAATTCTCAGAATCAGGTCACCAAATGGAATCAAGATGCCCTAATCTATTTCTTCCCTTTGCGGGTGACTCGTAAAATATGTGGGATTTATGTCCCGCATATTGAGGAAGAGAACGTGTCTTGCTGGAGATATGCAACTGGCGGCAAATTTGGCCTACAATTCTGTCGGTAATCACAACCGACAAACAAATGGATTCCCGTTCAAACATCTTTGACATTGGCCCATTCAAGAAAAAGTGAAATTCTTCCTTTAGTAAGTATTCTGTGAAAAACTTCTTGCTAACTCCTTAAAAGCCAAGTGTGATATTACAAATAGTGCGAAGTGTCCTTTTGAGTATCATAATAAAAAAAGTATTTTTTATATTTTGAGAGACTGTTGTGGCAAAGAAGGTGCGGCAACTTATTATTACTTCTAACCATTATACATATTTTTTTGCCTTTGATAATTTGTAGAGTTGGACTCAAGAAGCAACTAGGAGACATTTAGGAAAAATATCCTTCAAATGCTAGCCTTGATTAAGATTTTTTACAATATCTGTTAAATTCTCTAGAAAAATAGATGCAGCAGGATTTTCAAAAACTATGGCAACGCATCAAGTCAAATTATCCATTCATTTCTATTCAACTTGATGAAAGATTCTAGTAATGGCCATTAGGAACATGATGTTTTTCAAGAAATTAAAAGTAACAACGCTCTTTGAACTAGACCTAGACATAAGTTTGTTTATGTTGACATTGACACTTCAATTGGGTATCTGAACCAAGCAGTGTGTGGAGGAGTAATTCAGGACCATAAAGGTCAATGGATCCTTGGTTTCAATTGTCAGTTGAATTTTACTGCTATCTCAATAACAAATATATTAGATATTAACAATTTTCTCAAGATTGCTGATATGTAAACAGAGTGAATTTAATAAAATCCAACTATTTACTGACTCTCTTGAGATTATTAATACTTTGTTCTAAAATAGTGGAAGGAATCATTTTTATGAAAGTATTGCTAATTCAACTAAAGATATTATATATTAGAATTGAAAATTAGAGGTTAACTACAATTATAGAGAAAGCATTAATGTACAGATCAAATGGCAAGATTGGGTTATTTTTCTAATACTAAAATCACACTCTTTTTGGTAGCTCCAGGCTCCTGTTGAATGTAGTCAAACTTTAACGGATGACTTTGCTAATAGTGTTTGACCTGTTCCAATTTGTACTCACTTCAAGCTTTGCTTGCCCATTTATCAAAAAAGAAAAAAAAAAGAAAAAAAAAAAGACCAAGGGACCATTCGTTTCCGGTTAGCTTAAATATGTCATGATAATCATTAAGTTGTTGACCTGCCTGGATTTTTTTTTTTTTTTTTTTGTGAACAGATGTTTTTCTCCCTCTTGGCAGTGAAAAATTAGACTTCTGTGAGCATTGAGCAGGGCAGATTCTGAGAATCTGGGACCGTGCGTTTGAAAGTGCAGGAAATTGGCGGGGCTCGGAAAAGTGAACAAAGTGTGATGTAATACAGTTCACAAAATTATGGAATATTTTATTCCATTCGATGCTAATTTATCTTCGCATATACTATAATCTATAAATTATCGAATGATAAAGTTGAGTCAGCTAACGGCTTCCCCACAGTGAAACTAGGTAAGCAAAAGGAAAGGCCAGGAGAGATGTGGCGAAGGAGCTTTAGCACTGCAGCCTCCGCGCTGAAGGACAAAAAATGGGACGCTCTCGTCGTTGGTGGCGGCCACAACGGCCTCACGGCTGCCGCCTATCTCGCCCGCGGGGGTCTTTCCGTAGCCGTCCTCGAACGCCGCCACGTTATTGGCGGAGCCGCTGTCACGGAGGAACTCATTCCAGGTTTCAAGTTTTCTCGCTGCAGCTACCTTCAAAGCCTCCTTCGTCCCTCCGTAATTAAGTAAGCTTTCCAATTACATTGGTTATTCGTTGAGACTATTGCTTGATTACTGCTTATTGCATCACTTTGTGGACGAACAGTGAGTTAGAGTTGAAGAAACACGGTTTGAAGCTTTTGAAGAGGAATCCGTCGTCATTTACTCCCTGTCTCGACGGACGGTATCTTCTTTTAGGGCCTGATAAAGACCTCAATCATTCTGAGATTTCCAAATTCTCTAAAAGAGACGCCGATGCTTATCCAAGGTGCTATTGCATCTTCTTTTTTTTTTAGTCCCTTCTTTTGTAATCTTTCTTAGTACACTGTGATCTTAGTAAGTAATTGTATCATAATAACTGTTTTTTACTCACCGTTCCCCCGAGCGACGATCTCAAGATTTAATGATTGTTTTAATCATATTCTCACGATTTGAAATCTTCGATCATACAATTAAGGCACTACAAGCACAGGAATTTGTATCAGTGTTGATTTCAATAGCGGAAAGATTTTTGATATGGTCAAAATGTGTTGGTACCATAATAGATATCTTTGGGTGCTTAAAATTGAACAGGAAAGATAACCTCTGGTCGTTGCTTTTGTAACGCAGTTAAAAGTCCCCTAATGGAGTACCTAATGGAAGGCGATACCAATCAAACATATATGGTTTATCTATCCTGTTAGCCTTGCATTTTGCTCAAAAACTCAATTAATGGTAGATTTAGCTATTTTAGGAAACTGCTTGAGTCAGTAAAAATACGTTAGAATCATGATTCACAACTGTAAAGATAACTTGCGAAGTGAAAAACATTTTTCTGAACTTGACATGACAGGCTCAAAAATATTTTGATATTCTAAATTCTAATTCTTCATCCCTCTTTTGAAGAGCCAATTTGAGCAGCTTATTGCCAACCTTATTGATTTTATATGCTTCATGAATCATATGACCAGTTTTTGTTTGTCTTTTCAAGCTTCTTTTCCTTACTGGTAGTCATTTTCTTTGTTCTATTATACAGATATGAGAAGCAGCTTGAGAGCTTCTGTAAATTTATGGATCTAGTGCTGGATTCGGCTCCTCCTGAGTCTTTGCAGCGTAAGACTTCTTTTAATGAACAGATGAAGAATAAAATACAGAATTCGGTCTTTTGGGCAAATTTTCTGCGGCAGGCAGCCTCCTCAGGACAGAAAGATATGGTGTGAGTGTTTTTATCCTCACCAACATGAAATTGTCTTTGTTTCCACTAAAATTTCATATTGTAGGTTGCAAGTTATTTAAAGAATTTTCGTGATTCAAATCCCATAGATAGTAATTTGAAGATACAAATTATGGTGTCAGTCTTGTATAATTACTTTTTATTTATTTGGCAGGGACTTTTTGGACCTTTTGTTATCCCCAGCTTCTAAAGTTTTGAATAACTGGTTTGAGGTTATATTATCTTTTTTGTTATAGCTGATTATTTATTATCTTTAACCTATGATTTTAGTCTTTAAAGTTCATGTTTTTTTTTTGGGGGGGGGTGTTCATGAATTGAACTCAGCTTTAGACTTTTAGGCGTCCTCTTGTTATCTTTTTTCAGAAAGCTTCCTGAACTTCTTGAAGTAGAATTTTAATCATATATACTTCTTAGAATAGGATGTGTTGGCAGGAGAGAAAGATGTTAATATTGGGTATTATTTTTGTGTCTCAACACCTTCAATTTCTGCTGTCTATTTTCTTCAGTTGAGTTCTCAGCAATCATTGTCTTGCAAATTCATTTACTGACGTGTAGATCACATATTGATGAAATAACTATTTAAGCATTTATTTGGATACTTTTCCGCATTTCTCTGCTCTTTATGGTTGAATGTTAAATAATGTTTCTGACGTTGTTTCTGCAGGCAGATGTCCTGAAGGCAACCCTTGCAACAGATGCTGTGATAGGAATTACAGTAAGATTAGTTGTTTTTACTGGGAAAATCGGTTATGATATAGTTGGAATATTAACTCTTTTTTGAAGGGCGGAGATATTATGATAATAGTGCAATTATTCTTCTCAGTTCTCTGTGATAAAAAAACAGTATAGTAGATGTTTCATGCTAACATTAATATTTAGGATCACTATGCGCTCAATTCTCTAATGCAGGGAAGTGTCCACACCCCAGGAAGTGGTTATGTTTTGCTACATCATGTTATGGGAGAAAGTGATGGGGATCGTGGAATTTGGTCGTATGTATCTCTGTTGCTGGCTTGAAATCTAAATAGTGCATCACATCAATGGCCACAGTAATTTGCCAAAATTCTATTTCTTTTCCTATTTTAATGTAACTTGAATTTTGCGTTACTTAAGTTTAATCTTTAAAAATGAAGCATTGATGTATATTGACTAAATGAAATTAACAAAATACCATATAAAACGTAAATGGCAGTGGCATCTTGTTATTTGGGATTAGTATTAATTGGCATGTTAGTTTATAAAGGTCCAATTGTATCCTTATTTGTATAAAAAGGAAGATATACTATATTTATGATTGTGATTGATTAGAATCAGAAATATGCTTTCTTTTTTCTTTCCACCAATGTAATACAATTAAGCCTTTCTCGCAATCAGCAAACTAACATATTTCTAACTAACAGACTAACTAAATAATTAGCTATTAATTCTAAATAACATTAATCCGGCATGACATAGTAGAGTTTGATAGGTACTAACAAATTTAATTACAAAGGATATTTTCCACTCCTAAAATATCAATACATAATTCACAAGTCATTAATGATACGACTCATTCTTCATACCCTGTACATTGAATAGGAAAATGTGTCTACTTTTCATAGTATTTGTATAATGGGACATAACAAAAGAATTTAAATTTTTAACCACACATAATACTTCCCCAGAATTTTAAAAATTTTCTTCTCACAGAAAGGTGGATTTTCTCTTTTGGATTTTTTCGCTTTCTTTTCAGGGTTTTATTTGATAAATCAGGGGAAAATCTTTGGGTCCTTTCTACGTGTCACATGCTTGTTCAATATGTGCCTTATATAGTTGACTATGAGCTAGCTACCCTTTGCCAATAGCTTTATTTGACTAAAAAATTGTGAGCCATTTTCAACAAATATGTCTGAAAAAGTGAATCTAATTATTTAAGCATGTCATTATTTCCTTTTAGGTATGTTGAAGGTGGAATGGGCTCGGTATCTGCGGCTATTTGTAATGCTGCCAGGGAAGCTGGGGCACATATTGTAACCAATGCTGAGGTACACTGAATGATCTCTTTAAGCTATCAACCTTCACTCCCTCAATAATGACCGTTAATTGTGACACTGTAGGAAAATTCTTGTAGTTTAGTCAGTTGTATCCTTGTTCAACAGGATCTTTGATGCAACCAGCAAACACTGGAAATTTTATGCTCTTCACAAAATATTATGAATTTTGTCTAGGCCTGAAATATCACAAAGAATGGAACAGTTAAAGTTTTGAAGCAGGCTGATGAATAAATAAGTTTTCCCCTATCTAATTCTAATTATGAAATATATGTAACCAGACTAGAGAAGCTGATCATGAAGAGGCATTTTCCTATACACAAGTCTTAACATGTCCACTTCACTTATCTGGGTAGTAGCCAAGTATTATAAGTCGTCTGGAACAATATAATTGTATTCCGTTTACAATGTTGACGAGAAATATGGTTACTTCATTACTAGGCAGTGGGTATCTAACGTAATTGTAAAGAAAAAGGAAGGTATTGCGTGCATTAATTTTCAGAGGTTTATTCCCTAACCTTCCCCATATCTTTTTCCTTTGCAAAGTTTCTCATTACCATGATACTGTGTGTTTTTTTAGGTTTCTCAACTGCTGGTTGAAAACTCTGACACTGTCTGCGGGGTTAGTGTTGTCTGTGAGTTCCTTTAATCAAGTTGGGTTTTAAAGTTGGATAGCTTTAGTTAATTCTTGATGTGACTTATATTTATATATGTATAGGTGATGCTGGCTGATGGTACTCAAGTGCATTCTTCATTTGTTCTATCTAACGCTACTCCTTATAAAACTTTCATGGTAAATTCTCAAATCAGTGGCAGATGCTAACGGTTCTATCTCCTAGATTTTGCGTTACTTAGTTTTTGGTAACATGACCCAGGAATTAGTGCCTTACAGCATCCTTCCCGATGATTTTGTTCGTGCAATTAAGTATTCTGACTATGGTTCTGTAAGTTCTTTTTCCACTATATTTCAGCTGTTCTTTTTCCTCCTTTATGGGTATTTTCTACCATGAGTCGCTGTATAAAACTGTAAAGTTAGGATATCAAGAAAATCATGACAATTTCTTAGAACGGTAGCTTCTTAAAATTTGGTGATAATTTTTCTAAGACTCGGTGGTAAGTTTGTACCAGTCTGATGACAATTTTAATAAGGGTAAGGGGACAAATATATTCATAAAGTGATCAGCCAGGGACACTCAGTGTTTTAAAATGAGGAAAAGGGTAAAAATATCCATAACGTTATATGAGTGAGTGCAAAAGTAATCAAACCATTAACTTTGATCTAATGTTGTTAATTTTGACTGTTAAATGCTGACTGTGCATGCCACATATTAGCCTTTGTTGATATGGATTTATAAAGGGGCAAAAATACCCACTAAGTTATCGGTCAGGAGCAAAAATACTCATAATATTACTAGAGTTGGCGCAAAAGTTACCAATTCATTAAATCTTTTAAATGTTGACCGTTTAGCTAACATCTAAGTGGAAGTTAACGATTTTTTCACTGATGTAGACCAAAAATATTCCCAGATGAATTTTTACGGATGTTGATCGATCATCATATAAGTATGTATAATCAGTGACCAATCTGCCAAAAATCATGCCACATAGTTTCTTTCTATTGCCATGTATCTTGCCCCCTTCCTTCCTCCCTTTCCACTCATTTTTTTTGTTGCAAAAACTGATATTCAACATAGTGAAATAAGTTGTACACATTTGAAGATTGAGATTGTGCATACCTCCTATGTCATGCTATCTTAATAACATTGTCACAACCTTAAGAAATTTTATTGATGATAGGTTCAAAATTTTCAAATGTTTTTTGCTATTGCTGTAAAGAAAAAAGCGATTTAATTTAATATTCAGTCAAAACAACACTTTCTCACACGATATTCATATAATGACCGATTAACCTTGAGAGAATTTCATCTAGGAATATTTTTTGTTTGTGTTAGTGAAAATATGGTCAACTTTTGCTTAGGTATTAGTTAAACAGTCAACATTTAAGTGATTTGATAGTGATTTGATAGATTGGTCATTTTTACATCAACTCTTGTAACATTATAGGTATTTTTGCTCCTGGGCAACAACTTTGTGAGTATTTTTGTCCTTTTATTGGTCTATATCAGCAAAGGCTGACACGTGGCATGCATAGTTAACATTTAACGGTCAAATTTAATGACATTAGGTCAAAGTTAACGGTCTAGTCACTTTTGCAGCCACTCATATAACGTTATGGGTATTTTTACCCTTTTTTTCACTTTAGGATACTGGGTGTCCCTGACTGACTACTTTGTGAGTATTTTTGCCTTTTTACTCTTTTAATAATATGTAGGAATTATGATTTTCAAGATATTTTAACCTAAATATTATTACAATGGCACAAAAAAAAAAAGCCTTAAATATTATGACATCGGGACATTAGATGTGATTTGCTCACTTAACCATGCTAGACATCAGAATATCGTCTTTGTCAATAATCAAGGCCTGTTTTCCCGAAACAATTAAAACACAGCAAAGACAAGTTGGGGGCGTACTGTTTATATTTCATTAAATGCATTACGACGAATGGAACTCAGATTAGATTGCAAAGGAAATCTATGTTTTCTCCATTCTTTGTTGCTTTGTTACATGAAAAATATCTATTGAAACAGGCCACTACGAAAATCAATGTTGCCGTGGATAGATTACCCCAATTCCAATGTTGTAAGATAAATTATCCTGACGCTGGTCCCCAGCATTCTGGTACAATTCACATAGGTTCAGAGAGGTTTGTTACGATTCAGTCATTTTTTAATCTTGTTCTAGATGATAGAGTCAGAGCCTATTCATTTGGGACGCACCATTTATTTTTCTTGACCTTTGGGCTTTGTCCATTCCCCTGTAGCATGGAGGAGGTTCATTATGCATCTCAAGATGCAGTGAATGGAAAACCATCACGAAGACCAGTTATTGAGATGACAATTCCCTCTGTACTAGACAACACTATATCTCCACCTGGTATTCGGAACTTCAGCTCTAACAATCTTGATATGTATATCTCCTCAGTAAAAGTGCAGGAGAAGCTTTGCCTTCAATGCATGTCCTTTTATATATGATGCTATCTGAATAGCGGCAATAAATTATTTTGTTTCTTCTTAGGTAAGCATGTGATCAACCTGTTTGTTCAGTACACACCCTACAAACCACTGGATGGTGACTGGCAAGATAGTGCTTACAGAGTGGGTTTTGTCGAGTTCCCCCCCCCCCCCCAAACCTTTGGGACATAAATCTCTTTGTTCAACGGAAGGTGAATCGTTATTCTGACAAGTCTCCTTTTCAGGAATCATTTCTGCACAGATGCTTCAGCCTGATTGATGAATATGCCCCTGGCTTCAGCGCATCAGTAATTGGTCATGATATGCTGACTCCACCGGACCTTGATAGGGAAATCGGTTTGACAGGTAAAAGTTGCCTGGTTAAATATACGTTGAAGTGACCAAGAAACCTTAAGTTAAATATTAATTGATTGAAACGAGAAGTGCTTCGTTTATATTAAGTATTAAATCTCAATAAGAATGTGAATTGTATCTTTTGACAGGAGGGAACATATTTCATGGTACAATGGGATTGGATTCGCTTTTCCTCATGCGACCTGTGAAAGGATGGTAACTTTTGTCATCTCCTCTTAACATTTAACTATTGCAAGCCCCTGTAACCGGTAACGGCATGATTCTATTTTGTTTTGGAACTTAGGTCGGGCTACAAGACTCCACTTCAAGGGTTGTACTTATGTGGAAGTGGGGCGCATCCAGGTGGTGGCGTAATGGGAGCACCAGGACGTAATGCTGCCCGCGTAGTTCTGCAAGACGTCAATAGATCGCTTAAATGATACACTGCTTCAGAACATGGAGTTCCATCCGGCAGCAAACGTTAGAGCAACAGGAACTAAAATCACGGTTTCACTATTGCGGATTTAGGTCACTCACAATTGGCTTGCCTATATTAATCTCGGTGCATAACAATTGGCTGTATTTATTTTAGTGCAATTCTGTGGTGGGAATTTTCATGTCTCGGATCTATGTGAGACAACTATGTTAATGACGAAGTGAATGACTGCAAGGCAAAACTCTTTCCTATGTTTGGTTTTTTTTTTTGGTTGGGGGGGGGGGGAGGGGGTGGAGAAGTCTCTCCAAATCGTCTCAATGTTGGAGGGGGCAGGGAACTCCTCCATAATGTTTTTGCCAAAAAAGTGGGAGGAGAGTCCCTTCCCTCCATTTTTCCAATCCAAACATCGAAAGTTTTTTCTCTTTCCCCTCCAATCAAATATAGTGCCCACAGAACTAATGATTATGATTCATAAGTATAGAGTACTAGATAATATAATGATTGACTATGGACAGAAGCATAAAAATACATGAACTTCCCCAAATGTGCATGGGTGTGCCCTATCCAAACAACAGGAAGGAAATTTTTTAAATTTGCGTATAAGTATAAATTTGACGAGGATCATGAAGGAAAGTAGGAAATTAGTGAAAGGTGAATTTACTGTTTTGAGTATCGCAACAATCAGACAAAGTTTGCACTCACTAGTCCATTATTGCCCGAAAGAAGTTGATGAAAGCTTGAAGGCACCATTGAGGTTGCTTAAAACTTATTTAAATCAATTATACAGAATCAAAATGACATGAATCAATTAAAATTGATTATAAATAAGGTTTGGTTTAGTTTTTCTAGCAATACCAATGGTATGTTTCGGTTCAAGTTTTTGCCATTTGAAATTTAAAGCAAATCAAATCAAGTTTTATTATATTTATATTTGTATAAATTTGCAAGTAAAAAATCTGTTACAATTAGGTACATGTCCTGTTTATGATAATTTTTTAATTTTACAATCAAGTGTTATTATTAATTTTTAATAGTTAAATGTGCTAATTACTTGTAAAAAAATTCTTTTGCATTCGTTTTATTGAAAATAGTAATTGATAGTTAAAAATTATCAACGAATAAGTGTGCACATACACACACATATTGATTATAAAAAATATAAAAAAAAATTAAACTTGATTAAAACTTAAATCCAATTGAACTAAATTGTTCAAAAATTGAACCAAATCGATTGAAGGAAAAATCAAATAAGTTTCAAGTTTTGGTTAACTAATTGTTTTGGTTTAATTTGATTTTTCTTCAAAGCCAAATCAAATCAAATTTGTGAACACTCTTAAATGTCATGGCAAGCAATAGTATCAAGGCAGAATGACCAATAAGGATGTCATAAGAATATTAATATCAAATTAGGATCTCTTTACAATTAAAGTTTCCAATTTCAATAATCTTATAAAGTATTTAAAAAAAATTAGGATCACTAAAATATTAAAAAAAATCCTGATTGGCATTAACATTCTTATAAAGTATTTACTTATCGTTTCTTTTGGTATTTATTATTAATATGCAAGAGTTGATAATCAAATCAATATATCTTTAAAATCTACTTTCACCTTACGCAACAAATAGTATCCATTACATATGACTCTTTTCACATTTCATCATTTATGTGAACAATATCAACAGTGACAACTTGCATTGGGTTGTGTAAAAGTTGCTTTCCTTTTTTTCCTCAATTCTTTGAAGTTTCAAAATTCAAACAAGATATAAACATAAACTAAATCAAATTAAACCGCTCAAAAGTCTAACCAAATTGATAAAAGAAAAAAGAAAATCAAATAGACCACAAGTCCTCAAGGATGAAATGAGGAGGATTAGTAGGTCCACGCCCCCCCCCCCCAATTTTTAAATTTTTCTTAATATCATATAACTATTACATACCTTTTGGGATTTATGAAAGCCTTGTAATATATATATATATATATATATATATATTACTCTTGACCCCCTTTATTTTTAGATTTGGCTCCATTCCTGTAAGCTCCAGTGAATGGTTTGGTTTGTTTAGGAACGGACCCACATTTATGATAAAGAGGGCCCCACAACCCAAGGAAAAATCACCTCAGATGATCCGAAATAATTTTAATTGTCCCCTTAAAAATTTTCAATTGCCCCTCTTATTTTAAAAAATTTCACTTATCTCCTTATAAAATTTTACTTATTCCACTAGTGGTCTGGTTTAGTTAACTCTTTTAACAGAATGCACATAGAAGGTCACATTAATCATATTAGACGCATCATTATTCTACTCAACTTACTTTGGAAATCAAGAAGCCTTGCAATCCATAATGGCAATGTTATAAGCCATGAGACTAATAAAGGAATATCAAGGTGAATGTTTTTTTATAGATAACAATTGCCAATGGAATGCTAGCCTTCTAGTGAGTTCTTGTAATCCTTCTTTCAACTCCTCAGATTAATGGAATTATATATCAGTTTGGGGCATTTGGATGGAGAAGGTAAAAACAAAGAACCTGACTTTATGCAGAATCCTAATATAATGCAATTCTGATTATCTGCATGCCATTACCAATTAGCTATTTCAAACCCTATTTAGTTCCCTAATATGCTTCCAGGCCCAATTAAAGTCTTCATTAATTTCTTATACACCCTATAAACCTCATTTCACATTGAATACACATTTATTTCCCTAATAAATCCCAGAGTAATATTAATACACATTTGAATTTCTTAATTAAAACCTCAATAACCACAATCAATTCCTTATTTAAATATCAGGATGATACAAGTTGCACTTTAGTGTATCAAAATGTTTTGCAACAGCTATAATATCAGCTCCTTTCTATCACATCTTATTTGTTTCAAGAAAAAGCTCGTTACATAGAATCTACTGTCTATGAACTCCAACAGCAATGTTTCAGCAGACATAACTTTACTCCATAATTTTTAGCATTTCAATGTTCAAGTTGTAACTTATGAATATTTCTTTTCTATTTTTAGTTTCTCACCATGGATTATAGACTTTAACCTTGCACTCTAATCTTTTTTTTGTAATATATTCTTTTGTTTTCCTTAAAAAAATTATAACCTTAAAAAACAATAGTTTTAAAATGGAAAGAAATAATTTAGAAAAAAGATTTTTTTATGAAAAATTTTAAGGTAAAGGTGCATTTTTGCCCGAAATGTTTTTTTTTAGGAGCCTCTAGTACTCTAATATTTTTCGAGTAGCATTTTTGCCCCTAATGTAATTAATTTGGTGCACATGTTACCCTAATGTTAAATCTACACTAACACCATTAAAAATTTCATGTGGGCTCCATTTTATGTGACAGGTTATCATCTCCCTCCGATGATGATTCTTCCATTGCTGCCTCAGTCTTTAGTGTTATCATCTCCCTCTAATACCAGAAGCTTGATACAACACCCTCGTCACCTACTAACCCTTCTCGTCATTATTGCTCACCTACTTTCAATGAAGTTTAAAGCTTTGCAGCCTCTACTATCACCATTTACCTCAAAGCTAGCGCCTTTGCTATGTTCACAATTGCCATCCTTGAAGCTCGACGTCTTTATTTCCCTCTCTCTTTATAGCCATCGACCTCGAAGCTCATCCTCTCCATTATCGGTGATGATCTACCTCTTCGTTGGCCTCCCATAATGATTTTACTAACCAAAACACTCATAATGATTTTTCAAATTTCCAAGGCCACTTGTTCAAGCTTCAACATTCTTCCCCAACCATAGAGTGATCATAATGACTTGGGATAGCCGTTTTGTGGATGTTCGGAGTGAAGATGGTGAGGAGGACAAGTTATGCAACCAGCATTTAGAGTGACAATAGTGATAACCTTAGATGTTTGAAGGTCATAGCAACCCATTGTGCTCTCTATTAGTAAGAAAAGCCAATCCACACCATTCATGTTGATGCCTTTCCAGTGTTGACCATGATCTTATTAGTTATCCTATGGATGATGCCTTTTGTAACATCCTGATTTTTATATAATAAAGAAATTGTGGAATTTAAGTTTTGAGGAAAAAATGATAATAATAGGAATTTATATTATTTGAGGTTATTTAGAAATAATATTATGATTAGGTATTTAATTATGAATTTAAAAATTTAAATTTAAAACCACATAAGCAATATTTAGTTAAAATATAATACATAAATAATTTTTTTATGTGTGTGTTAAAAAAAAGAGAAGGTAGAAGGAACAAAAAAAGGGGGTGAAAGGTTGTTGTTTTTAAGTCCCACATTGGTTAGAAGAGGGAAGAGAAGAGGTACCTTCATGTATAAAAAGGAGGGGGTGTGTGCATTAGGAAGCATGAGAGGCTAGGATGCAATTTAGAGAAAATTGCAACTTTTGGCCCAAAAGGTTTGAATAATTAAATTCAAACCTATAGTTTTTTTTAATATAATTTTGGGACTCACAATCCCATTTTTATATTATTTTTCTCTCTTTCTCTCGCGTTGCTCGGTGTTTTCTCGCAAGGGGGGATTATTTTTTTTTTCTTCAGGTATGTTCTAATTTTCCTGTTTAGATTAGCATTTAAAAATTTATTTAATTACAAAATTAATTTTATAGTTATTTTCTAAATAATATTATCTTTCTAGTGATATGATTATTTTGTAGGATAGAGTAAATATTTTGATTAGGATTTTTCTATAGGATAGTTAATCTGATGATATGAAGAATTAAAAATATAGGTTAAAACTCTTAGGGATATAATAAATATTATAGAATATTTTCTTGAGGTTGAAACTCATGTTTAAGAATTTTTGAGTTAAAATCTAGATCTATATGGTTGAATTTATGTGGAATCTGAGATGTAGGGATAAACCTATGATTATTAAATATTTATTTAAGTATGAATAGATATTTTTGAGGTTATAGAAAGTTGATTTGAGGCTTCAGGATAATTTTAAAATTTTTAATTTATTTTTGGACGAATTTTTAGAATATAGAAGGATGAAATTGTGATACTAGAAGTGATTTGAGGATAAAAAAAATAGTTTATTAGGGTGAGAATTTTAGAAAAGAATTTGGGAAGTTAAATGAGGCATAAATCTTAAATTAGTGTTAATATGGATTATAGATCTAAGACTTTCTAACTATTTAAATTAGAGTTATTTATTTTAATGTAAAATTAATATATAGTATTGTGAAATAATTATGTAAATTATATTGACAAAGATAGTGGTGAAAAAGGAGTTGTGAAGGGGAACTTGTTA